CTGGCCAGATACCACCCCAGTGACAAATAGTGAGCAGGTCAGACATTGCAGGATGCAGCAACCAAGAGCAGTAAATTAAGTACAGAGGCTCCAAGGCCACTATTTGAGAGAATGCCCTGGAGAGCTCAACACTTACTGGGCTTTAGGCACCATGGACTGTTCCAGGTGAATAGCTCCCATCCAGAGAACAAATAATTTCTGCACTTCAAGGGGGCTTAGTTACTTCATCTCTAAAATGGGAACTGTGAACTAGACTCAGTAAGGACCATTTTTCACTTTAAAACTTCTCCAACTTTGATTCTTCCAAATGGTGGTATATGGGGAAGATGAAAACTGTTAAATGGGGGCAAGTGTAGATGTTGAAACCACATTGGGGACAATGTGGTCTAGGTGATAAAAATTATACACGGCAAGAAAACAGGCGGCATGTATATCCCTGAAAGTAGAGCAGTAACATGTTTTTTGCCTTGAAAAGAGGGTGTTTTGAAGAAAATGATTATGCTTAACTTAGGTTAAACCCACATTTTGGAAAACTGAAAGCCAGAGTATAAATTAAGACTTCTTCTTAAGCAATGAGGAGCTATGGGTGGTTTTTGAGCAGGGTAGGGGCATGAGCAGATTTGTGCTGAAGCCAATGTGGAGGTAAAATGTATCAACAGAAGAGCACTCATGTCATGCTGCCCAGGCAGTAGTCTGGGGTTAATACTGGTGTCTCCAGGTAATCTGGTCTGTTTAGGGGAGATTGAGTGGAAGATGCCTACCATTCACCTCAGGCTGCAGTACCTTCCTGCTCTGTAGTCCCTGTGCCATGATGTGAGGACCATTGACCCTGGTGTCTTTGGACTCCATCTTCTAATATCCCCAGCCCTGTAACTTAGGAATGTTATTTATTCTGTTCAGGTCTTGGTCTTTGTCTGTTTGATGGGGCTAATAAGAATATGGGCTTCCAGGAGTTGTGGAATATGAAATGAGTTAATCCATATGATGTACCTAGAAAGAGACTGTACAAAGTACCACTAAGTGTCAATCAACTATTATTTTTAGGTTTTGTCTTCCACATGGGGGCCCAGTTGAAGAAGTGACACCACAGGATGGGAGGAGCTATAGGAGGTAGTAAGGATTTCCCCTCCCCAACAGAATAAACCCCACCTTTGTGCTAAAGGACTGATGACTCTGTTAGGCTCTAGTTCCAGAGCCTACCTGATTTAATAATATGATTGACATTTTCATGCCTATTTATGAAAATCCTAAGTTTTGGAGGGGAGAGAGAGAAGGCCTACAGCCCTTTAGAGAGCCAGAAAGCTCTTGGTAGGAGCGTGATCATCAAAAGAATCTCTTTTCTCTTGATGAGAAGTGTCAGCACTAAGAACGGTAATCTCCAGCACTCATCTGCAGATTCTGGGTAGACGGGAAGGCAAGGTTGCTAAGATTGTGGAGACTGGAGTCATCCAATGAAAAGAACAGAGGACTGAGACTAAGGGATATGGGCTTGGGCTCTGACACCATCACTATTTATAGATAAAGCTGTTCTTTAGTCTTGCCATCATAAGTCTGGGTATAATGCTTTTTTATTTCAAAGTATTCCTTTATGAAGAGATTTTGAGATAGGATTGTGGAAGGTATGGAAGAAGACAGAGTCAAAGCCACATAAAGGATTAGGGGGTTTCTTGTAATATATCCAGAATTGGAACTTTGCTTTTCTAAATAGTTTCATCTTCAGTGGTGGTGGTGTTTAGCCATACTTCCTCTGGCCAAATTGATGAGGGCTCCTGGTATCTGTCCTGAAAGTTGGCTTATGTGAGATCTCTTCATCACTAGAACCATTCAGTGGTTCTTGCTCAGCGTGCTGTCTAGTAGGCAGCCAGGATGATCCCTGTGTAGATCATATCCCGGTAAATATTCCTTGCTTGATAGAGTCTTAACATGTGGTCCATTGGAGCTCCAAATATTACCCTCAGGTGGAAGTAGGATTGGAGTTATAGGCAAAATGTGTGATTAGGACTTAAGACACTCCTTGAAACTCAAAGGAGTTATGTGTAAGGTTAGAAGCCTGGTCTATAGAATCAGAACGAGTTCATATCTGGAGCAGTTTCCTGTTTTGTAAAAAGAAGTAATAATGATTATATTAGGGGTCTCAGGAATGGGATAATGTGTGAGGAGCACTTAGTAGTATGGTTGGCTCATTGAAAGTAATTGACTGAAATGAAGGAGGTTACCCAGTAGTTTCAAAGCCGAAAGAGTTATATACCCTAACATCAGGGTCAGGACAGTCCTGCCTTACAAGTACTGTTCTGTGTTTTACAAGCTCCAATCTCATGCACATCTTTGCTTGGCATTAGAACATGTGTGTGAAGTATTGTATTATTAAATAAGAAGAAACAGGGACCAGAGCTCACAAAATTTGAAAGTACTTAGGCTGTGCCTTAAATCAAGTTGACTTCAGACTTCAGGCCCTTTGTTCTACACTGAGGGATTCTGGAAGCAGAAATATGATAGCTTGAGGCAGGGGGTTGGAATGTGTGTGGTGTATGGGTCAAACAGTCCAGTTTGTTTTTAGTGGATGTGGTAAAAGAGAACGGTGAAGAGGTAGATTACAAACAGATGGTGACAGGCTTTGGTTGCCAAGTTTATAAGTTTGGACATCATTCTGTGAACAGTAGAGTTTTGAGTAGACATTTCACCTGTAAGAAGTTAATATAATTGAAAGAGGGACAGGATTAGACATAGAGAAGAACAAAAGTGGGTGACAATTTATTATATCTGTCTACTGACTATCTGGCAGGAGATTCAAAAACAATTCACTTATAATTAACTTTCTTTTTGGCCTTTACTCTCTTAATCCTCTCTGCCTGAGACTCTTGTCAGTTAGGAGTGGAAGAGAGAAAGTAGGGCAGAAAAGGAAGAGGTAAACAGAGTAAGTTAAAACTGTCAGGATTCAGTGTGATTATGGGTGACAAAAACTCAAAAAAGTCAAACAAGAGGTTAATTTCTCTCTCACACAGAAAGTAGGAGGTAGTAGGATGGCTCATTCTACCTCCCAAACCCTTTCCTTGGTATGAGGGTTCTTTTGCATACTGCTTGAGTTTCAGCCATCAGTTCTGAAACCTTCCAACCGGCAAGAAGGATGAAGGGAATGAGGGAATGATCCTTCTCTCTAAGGACTTTTACTCAAATGTCTACTTTATACTTTCTCTTATATCCTGTTGACTAAAACCTAATCACATGACTAACTTAGCTGCAAAAGAAGGTAAACAGCACAAACAGTAATGTAGATAGCCCTGCAGCCAGCTCCAAGTTAGGGTTGCTACTCCTAAGGAAGGAGGAGAAGAGGATATTGGGGTTGAAGTCCATACCAAAAAATTAAATTATATAAAGGGTCAAGGTATAAAAAGTTTTATTTATGCTGAAGCTGGGCCTTTCAGACAGATGTGTGTGGGGAAGTCAGTTATGCTAAGAGCACTGTTTTCAATACAACTTGTTTCTTATTTTGTACTTGTGTATGGGATTGAAGAGTATTTGTTAATTCTTTCTGAGAGTTGTTGAAGGAGAGTAACTTCTATGACACTATCCAAGCTTCTGGTGATTTGTTGGCTATCTTTGGAGTATGTTGGCTTGCAGACTAGTTATCACTCCGGCCTCCACATAGTGTTTTCCCTGTATATATGTGTCTTCTCCAAAGAGTCACTTAGGACTAACCTAACTGGTCTCATTTGAATGTGATTACCTCTGTAACAATTCAATCTTTAAGTAAAGTAATGTTCTCAAGTGCTACAAGTTAGGACTCTAAAGACATCTTTTGTTTGTGGGGAAAGCCATAATTCAACTGTAAAAGGCTTTGAAAATGCAAAGAAGAGGTTCTGTCCACATCTTGATTGGAGAACATGGAACAATGTGAAACCAACTCAGGGTGATTCTGTTGCATACAGGAACCCTGGACAGAACTGATCCATGGGAAAATGTACAGAAATTTGAAGTGGGGGGTGAATGCTTGAGTCTTTTAAAGCATGGACTCTTATTACAAACCCACTCAAACTAGTGCAGTTACAAGGTGTGTGATATGTATGTGAGCCAGGGAAG